TGTCTACATCAGGCCTCTAACAGGCCGAAAGTCACTGGGCTGTAGTTGGGCCCAAATATTCGGCAAACAATTAACGGGCCAGGTCTAGCTTCGGGCCGCAAATGGGCCCAAATATTGGGCGAACAATTAACGGGCCAGATCTGGCTTCGGGCCGTAAATGGGCCCAAATATTGGGCGAATAATTAACGGGCCAGATCTGGCTTCGGGCCGTAAATGGGTCTTTATTAAGCAGGTCATTATTGGGCTGGCCCACTAGTACCTGATTAAGTTCTACGGGCCTTTGACTGGGCCGGCCTTTTTAACCTATATGGGCCTCTGTTGGGCCCAGCCACCTGTCGACGTATCATAGGCATGTCTCCTCCAATGGACGGGCGACATCTGGCCCACTAACGAGCTGACAAGTGTTCCCTTCGGCCAATCAGAATTTTACACATGGAAATTTCCCATTGGTCAGGGCTGTTAACGGGTTATCGGATCCAAAATCTGACCCGATAGCTTAACGGCGTTCCGTTACGGTGGATGCCACGTGTCGGTCACCCTTGACGAAAGCACTTCTGTGACGCACAATTTATCGTCATGGAAGTGGACACTTCCATGATGATAGTTTTGGTAATGGCATGGAACACTTCTACGACAGCACAGGTATGACTATCTTGATTCTGTCATAAAATCGTCATGGATGTACATGCATGACAAAAAACGCGACCTACTGTGACAAACACGTATCATCACGGAAGTGTATTTTTTTTGTAGTGTGGGTAGTTGACATATGAGCCAGACCGGACACAGACGGACATGGAGGACACAGAGAATGTCTGGTTTGTGTCTGCTTCGGATCCAAACCTGTCTCAAATTTGGAGAGAATATGAGTCCAAGCGAACACAAGGCAGGCAAAAAACAAAATGAATCTTTGTCTTGGGGGCACATTTCCCTGTTCGCGCAGGCTCAAACGGACACCGGCGACCGAGGAAATGGGTCCTTGGAGTTGGTCTTAGAGCAACTCCAATGCGCCGACCCAAATGGATGCGCTCTTTGTCCGTTTGGATTGGCCGCCCGCTCGTCGTCCACAACCTTTGCGTTTGGGTCGGCCGTGCACCCAATGCACCGACGCATTTTCATCCTCGCGGCCGGCCTAGCACTCAAACAGATGAAATTTTGATCCCAATTTACATAATTCAAATAAAATACAAACCTATTATATAGTTTCACAACCAAACAAATATATCATAGTTTACAAGCCAAATGAAAATTAAATTGTCTCAAATACATTAAAGAAAGATATATCTATTGGTTGCCAATGTGAGCTCACATATGCTCAACCAAATCATTTTGCAGTGCATGTGAGTTTCCCAATCACGCATTTGATGATGAAATTTGATGAACTGTGCAAACGTTGCCGCTCCTCCATGCTCAGGCACAACATTGTCACCTTGGAACTGAAACCCCTGATCATAGATATGTTTCAGGCGCTCATCCTCTACGATCATGTTGTGGATGATCACGCAAGCAGTCATCACCTCCCACAAATTCTTGGTGCTTCAAGTTCTAGCAGGATACTGAATGATGCCCCCATCGAGATTAAGGAACACCAAAGGCATGCTCCACATCCTTCCTAGCACTCTCTTGCTCTTGGAAAAAATCTCTTCCTCTTCTCTCCTACAAGGTTGGGGATGGTCTTCACAAGAGTAGTCCACTAAGGATAGATACTGTTAGTTAGGTAGTATCCTTTGTTGTAGTGGTGGCCATTGATGTCAACATTGACCTCTGGGCAGTTGTCTTCTACCATCATTGCAAACACCGGAGAGTGTTGAAATCATCGTGAGATCCGGCCACGTCGAAGAAGAGTGCCAAATACAGAGATCTTGTGAAGCCACGACCTTGAGTATGATGGTGCACGCTTTGACATGCCCCTGCCAAGCAGAAGGGCAGTTCTTCCACTCCCACTACATACAATCTATGCTACTAGGCATCCCCGAAAAGCCCCTCCTGGCATTCATCGCCAACAAGTGGGCTATATCTGCAGCATTTGGTTCTCTCAAGTACCCAGGGCCAAACACTGCTATCACAACCTTGTAGAACCTATACGTGGGCTCAAGGCACGTGGACTCGCTCAAACGGACATACTCATCAATGAGATCACTAGGAACTCCGTATGGAAGCATCCTAATAGTTGCAGTGCATTTTTGATAAGAGGAGAAGCCAATCTTTCCCAGGGCATCCTCCTTGCACTCGAAATACTTATCGTATGCCACCACCCCCTCCTGGATACGGTTGAACACATGCCTAGCCATACGGAAATGACGCCGGAATAGGCGATGTTGGAAGAGCGGTCTGGGTGTCTCGAAGTAGTCCTCCCAGACTAGGAAATGGACGTTCTCTCGGTTGCGATTCAACGCCGGAGTGTGCCCCAAGATCGAGCCCTGGAACAAAGTTCGCTGCCTACTAAGGTGGTCATGGACGACTAACACAGTAGGCACAAGCTCCTCATCGTCGGATGAAGAATCATCCGAGTCGCAAATGAAATTGCGGAAAAAGAACTCGTCGACGGAGTCCATTTGTACCTTGCAGGCAAACCATGAAACAACTTGGGGGCGTCGTTGAAGAAGCTGACCAGTGAAGTGCCATGACCTCCCCTAGACTTGGTAGCAGGCCCTGTCGGCGTCCGACGAGCGTGGCGGCGTTAGACAATGAAGGTCGCCGTGCTTTTGTCCTCTCGGGGGAAGCTGTGGTGGTGGTGGCATGGTACGGGCGGGGGGAGGTATGTGGGTGCGGATGGCTGGCCTGGGCACCGGAAAGGGCGGTGACAACGACGGGGTGGGGCGGCCGGGTGCGCTGGCTGTCGATGGGAGAAAAAGAATGGCCTATGTGCCACCGACTCGCAGTCCCATGGGAGGAGTAGGCGGGCGTTGCGCGCGTCTAAGTCGACACGAACGAGGCTCCATTTTGGTCTGGAATGGGTCGTCCGGCGGACAAAAAGCGGGAAAATCCTATTGGCCTCTTATTGCGGCAAACTGCCGTTGCTTCGCACAGGGGCGAGGGACCGAGCGATGCTTTGGGCGGGGCCACTTACTAGATAGCTTACGAACTGCCCACTCCGGTTTTGTGAACCTTCTAGAAGGTTCCATGAACTGGGTTTTTTTTTTCTCTTATTGGTTTTCCACTTTTGTTCACTTTTCTGTTTCTTTTTCTTTTCTTATTTTTCTGTTTCTATTTCCTTTTCATTTTTCATTTTTTGTTTCCTTTTCTTTTTCAAGTTTATTTTTCTTTTACATAACATGTTCGCAGTTTTACAAAATGTTTAGGATTTTACTTTTTATTTCTTTTTCTTTTCTTCTCTTTTTTATAAAAAATCGAAAATTTTAAATTCTGTTCGTGTTTTCAATTTTTTTCAGTTTAAAAAAATGTTCTCAAAATTCAAAAATTGTTCTTGTTACACAAAAAAATTCAAAATTTTCAAAATTCAGAAAATGTACCGGATTTCAATTTTTTGTTCACATATTCAAAAATGTTGATGCTTCCAAATTTGTTCGGATTTTTCAAAATTGTTCTCCGTTTCAAAATATGTTCTCAAGATTCCAAAAATGTTTATGCTTTAAAAAATTGTTCACGCTTCCAAATATGTTCATGATTTTTAGTTCTTCATTTCAAAATTTGTTCTCAAGATTCAAAAAATATTCATGATACACAAAAAAGTCCGCGCTTCCAAATTTGTTCTCAAGATTCAAAAATCGTTCGTGCTTTAAAAAATTGTTCACAAATTCGAAAAATGTTTGGGAAATTCAAAGTTTGTTGGTTTTCATAATTTTTTTCACATATTCAAAAAAATCATGTTTCAAAATTTGTTCACAAATTCATAAAATTGTCTGCATGTTTATTTTTTCCACTAATTCAAAAAATTGTTCCTATTTCCGAAATTTGTTCACGTATTCCAAAAAATACAGCAGTTTTGGAAATTTGTTCATAATTGTTTTAAAAGAAATCATGTTTTCGAAATCCATTTCCAAAATTCAAAAAAGCTCATTTTTTGTAAAAAATAGTTTAATTTTAAAAAATGTTCAGTTTTCCAATTTTGTTATTGTTTTCAAAATATGTTTTGCGTTTATGAAAAGTAGTTCATAATATATATATATATATATATATATATATATATATATATATTCATGTATTCTATTTTTTTTGTTCCTGTTTGTTATTTAAAAATTTGAGTCCCCTAATAATGTTTGCGTTTCAAAAAGAGTTTCTTTTTAATAAATTATGCTTCAAATATTAAAACAAGTTTTAATGTGCCGTGGATTATAGTTCATATACTCCGGGCTGCCATCGTACATACTAAACCTCAGTTACTATAGTGGTTATGTACTCGCTTCTCTGGTGGGAGGACTTGAGTAGGATCCCTTTCCTGCAAGTTTCATTTTTTGTAATTTGGCGAATTGGGTTTTATTTTTCGCCGCTGCTGGCAGTTTCTTTAAGCGTGGTGCTGCCAATGCTTCTGAGTAACTCGCCTGATGTGATGGCTAGCCCGTTGCACTTATAGGTAGCAGGGCGTGGGTTCGAGTCCTATCAGTAGCGCCGTCTGTTTTGTGCGAATTTTACATCCCGCGCGAGACAGCGAATGGGCCGGCCCAGTCGCACGCCTCTTGTGTGTTGCATGAGCTATTCGCCGTTTTGGTCAGCGCGTTGGGTCGATTTTTGTGTCTATTTCAATTCAAATGGGACGGTGTTGGGCCAATTTTGTTTTATAGTGTGCTATATAAAACATGGTTGACGCTGTACTCTTGAAAAAAAAAAACATGGTTGATGCTAAACATTGAAACAATTTAGGACGTTGGATCTAAGGATGTGTACGGTTCAGATGCTCTGGGTAGCAGACTACACGGGCCGGCCCGAGTATGTGAGTTTTGGGGAGCCTCCCAACCCAGAAGTGCCAAACGTACCCAGAGGTTTTCCCCATCAGGAGCAGAGAGGCGACGGCGGCAGACGAGTTGCAGCGGCTTGCCGAGATGGAGGCGGGTTCGGATATGACGAAGGAGGCTGGGAGAAAGAGGGAAACCCACAGCGGGACCGAGATGGCCGGGGGGAGTAGGAGAACCTCGAGGAAGATCACAAAGAAGACGGAGTATCCATCGGTGCTGGATGTGATGGATGCCGCGATGAATCAGGTACTAAAGGAGCAAATGGAGTGGCTGGTGGCGAGGTGGAACGCCGAGAACCCCGACGCGACGCCACTCGTGGTGGAAGCGCTCACGGAGGAGCAGCGAGAGTCGCTGGAGCGAGAGCATTTGGCCAGGGAGGTGTTGATTGGTCAGGCGTACGTGGATAAGATGGCGGCCGAAGACATGGCTAGACTGAAGATGGAGGAAAGTAATCCGAAAAAGGATCCCGACGAGCTGTATTACCAGGAGTACCGAGAGAACTGGGAGTGGAAATATGCTGAAGAGTTCGGCTCCTTCGAGGCCACGAGTAAGATAATCTCCATTCCTTTCCCTTCTCTTATTACTGTGTAGAAATTTCCCCGAAAGGGTCGTGCCGGATCTCACTACCTTCAGTGTAACAGAGTTGTGATGCTTAGCATCAGATCTGTTTGCGACGGTACATCCTGAGAAATCAAGCAGAAACAGCTGAGATTTAAACAGGTTTAGCCAAGTATTGCAGGCAGTTATTTCTAGTATGAATGATAAAGCAGAGATATAGTTCTACTTATTACATAAAAGTTTTTGCAGCGTAAAACATGAAAATGCATGTGAATTAAGCTGGTGGCCAGGTCTTGACCTCCATTTTGTCTTCACTCAGCAGAGGATATCTCCTCAATGAGCACGCCACTTGTGCCAGTGTATACTTGTATATGCTGGTTGTTTTTCATCGCACTGAAACCTGTCAAATCCGCGTTGTTACTTATCACAGCGTTGAATTTCTCTTGTGGTGTTGCTGTGATCCTACTTTCTGTAAACCTTCAGCACCCAGCATTGTAAATTCCCTGCGAGTTTGATTTTCAGCGGTAATTTTGCTTTCCAAATGTGTTTAAACAGTCTGTTATATCAGAACTGTGCTAGATAGTTATGCATTGATGACACTGATTGTTTTGCCTTACTCCAGCCCCAAATAGATTTGTCTGCATTTGATCCTCCTGTTGTATGCCTCAGGCTCTTTACCCTGGTCGTTTGACAGTTTAAATTCTTGTGGAAGCTTTGCTCGATCAGTCCAAAAATCAGTATTTTTCCATCCCCTGTAGCTATTCTTCTATTATCTATATAGATGTTTCCAACCTCTGCAAATTTTTAATTCCCACCCCTCATTTCCATTAGGTGTGCATATTTTAAACCATTTCCCCCAATGTCATTTCTTCTGTTCTTTTACCTCGCTTACCTTTGTCCATTTTGATTGTCATTATCTTTTGTATGTAATGGATACATCGACATGTGGCATATCGATGGACTAGTAAGGTGATCTAAAAAAAGTGATAGACTAGTAAGGCATGAATTGG